AAAAAAAAAAAAAAAAAAAGAGGCAGCTGTCAGGGTTCCCTCACGCTAAACTTTTTTAAGATCTCACTTTGTGGCCCAGGCTAGAGTGCAGTGATGTGATCATGGCCACTGCAGTCTCCACCTCCCGGGCTCAAGCAATCCTCCCACCTCAGCCTCCTGAGTAGCTGAGACTACAGGCATGCGCCACCACACCTGGCTCACTTACTCACTTTTTGTAAAGACAGGGTCTCGCTATGTTTCCCAGGCTAGTCCGGAATTCCTGGCTCAAGCAATCCTTCTGCCTTGGCTTCAGAATGGCTTCAAGAAAGGAAAGCTGGGAGTACAGGTGTGAGCCACCGCACCTGCCGCATACTAACCTTTGGGAAGGTGGTACTATGAAGCCCATTTCTTAAGTGAGAAGACTGATTCAGCAGGGGAGACCCTTCTCAGGTTAGTGGACCTGTCAGCAGTGCGGCCAGAATTTTTTTTTCTTAGAGTTAGGGTCTTGCTCTGTTGTCCAGGCTGGAGTGCGGTGGTCCAATCATAGCTCACTGCAGCCTGGAATTCCTCGGCTAAAGGGATCTAGAACTAGAGTTTGAACCCAGCTCTCCCTGACCCCTAAATCCCCTCGCTGACTGCAGCACCAGGTGACGGCAAATGACAAGGCCCCAAGCCAGGACCCCACCTCCTTGTCCAAGGACCATGTCCTCCTCATGGTCCTTGAGGACATGTTACCAAAGTGGGGGGGGGTGCTAAAGGGATCCTCCTGGGATGTCCACACCCACCTATCACCCCACCTTAGGGTGTCTAAGTGAGAGCAGATGCCTCTCACTGGCTTTCCCAGGAAACAGATTGGGGATGAGCACATCTCAGCGGGCAGGGATAAATGAGGAGGATGAAGTGGGAGTTTTGTCTGCTGAGTCCTGATTTTTCTGTCCATCCTTGAGCTGCCGACAGATTTGTGTCCTCATGGTGTGGCCCCAGCCCAGCCTTTTGGAAAGGATTTGACTCCTGAGTTTTCCCTGAAATTGCATTTAGCCTGCAGGCCAGGAATGCAGCAAGGATCCCTGAAGTCTGATTGGACCCCGGGAGTTGCAAGCCCCGCCCTCCCCAGTGCACTGAGAACCAATCACTGTCTTGGCAGAGTGGGAACCTGGCTTCCCAGAGCCCCAGAGGCTTCTGACAGCAGGACAGGGCCTGGTCCCACCCCACCCCCTCCCTCTTAGCCAGGAGCTTTCAGTCTTTTTCTGGATCTCTTCCCAGAGGAACCAAAAGAAAGTGCTGGGCAGAATCCCAGGAGGCCCCATTCTGGTCCCTCACCCAGATGGTTTGGCTCTCAAAGAGCCTTGAGAGTGAGAGTGGAGAGCTAATTCTGTCCTTAGCTTGGCCATGCAAAGAAGGGTGACAAGTGCCAAATCCCCAAGGGGCAGGATGGGGCAGGCCAACCCTGGGAAGGGGACTTGGGTCCTGGGAAGTAACCTCGTTGCTATGCTTAGGGTTCCTCCCTATCCTCAAGGAAAACCAGACTGGAGGTAGAGCTCCAGCCCAGGGGGCACCAGACCCTAGCCCCATGCTGGCACCATTCCTGGGGCCTGGGCTGTCTGGCCTGCTGAATGGTCAGGAATTGAGTCTTGTGGCCATTGCCCTGCTCCTGGGGGACAGAATGATTTGTCAAATGGACTTTCTTCTTCTAGGGCCAAACTGATGTCCTGGAGGGACCAGGGTAACAGAAAGCTCCTGGGCTGATCACACGGTGAGCCCTACCTGATAAGGGAGACAGCCCTTGCCCCTGGGGATGTCCCAGTTCAATGGGGACCAAAAAAGGAGCCAGGTCACCAACAAAGAAACCCTGCTTCCCCAGCCCTGATCAGCACAGGGGAAGAAGATGATTGTGGGTGGTGGGCAAGGAGGTAAGAAGCAACCTCCACCCACCTCAGCACATCTGGGACTTCTGCCACTCAGGGGTCTTCTCTGATATTCAGGAGGGGCCTTCCTGGAGAAGCAGGTCTGTGATAAGGTCTATGCCTGTGAAGAGGGCTTCTAAATATGGGCACCCCTCACTTAAGGAAAAGCCAGGAGGTGGCAAATCCGTCGTATTAGTCCATTCTCACACTGCTGTAAAGAACTACCTGGGACTGGGTAATTTATAAAGAAAAGAGGCTTAATTGCCTCATGGTTCCACAGGCTGTACAGGAAGCATGGCTGGGGAGGCCTCAGGAAACTTAAAATCATGGCAGAAGGCAAAGGGAAAGCAATCATATCTACACGTGGCCAGCAGGAGAGAGACAGAAGAGGAGAGTGCCACACACTTTTAAACAACCAGATCTCATGAGAACTTACCCACTATCACAAGAACAGAAAGGGAGAAATCCGCCCTCATGATTCCATCGCCTCCCACCAGATCCCTTCCCCAACATGAGGGATTACAATTCAGCATGAGATTTGGGTGAGCACACAGCCAAACCATATAATTCCATCCCTGGCCCCTCCCAAATCTCATGTCTTTCTCACATATCAAAGCCAATTATGCTTTCCCAACAATCCCCCAAAGTCTTAACTCATTCCAGCATTAACGCAAAAGTCCAAATCCAAAGTCTCATCTGAGACGAGGCAAGTTCCTTCTGCCTACGGGCCTGTAAATCAAAAACAAGTTAATCACTTCCAGGATACAATGGGGGTATAGGCACTGGGTAAATGCTCCCATTCCAAAAGAAAGAAATTGGCCAAAATTGGCTACAGGCCCCATGCAAGTCTGAAACCCAGTTGGGGAGTCATTAAATCTTAAAGTT